TCGTCATTTGATCTTGCTTTTAATTGATTGCTCGTTTTTAAGTGCTTAATTAGTGTTAATCAACCCATCCAATCAATTGTTTAGAATGTTTAGGATTTTATTTTCGATTTTGTGATTTGGACGATCATTTAGTAGACGAAGCTCCGAATAGCCTTCCTTCGAGATCGACCCGAGTCGGGTAGTCGGGCTCACTGCATGGCGGACTTGGAGGTGGAGGAACCTCAAGATTTTCCAAGGTCCGAAGTCACAGTGCCCTGACGGCTGATGGAGGTGAGTTCCTTTGTGGAAATGGTGAGTCACGCGTCGATAGGGGGTCGATCTATTGGTGTAACTGGAACTCGAGAAATGCGGTGGACATCGCGGTCGCGGCCGGCGAATATGGTGTTGATGGTTAATACGGATGGTAGTTTTGATCTGTCGACAGGTATGGCCAGTGCCGGTGGTGTTATTCGGGATCACCATGGTCACTGGGTGCATGGCTTCTTGATGAACATCAGGTTTTGTTCGATCGTTGGCGCGGAGCTGTGGGATTTATTCCAGGGTCTCGCATTGGCCTGGGATACCGGGGCCCGTAGGATCCAAGTTGAAGTAGATAATAAGAGTATAATCGAGATGTTACAGCTCCAACATTACGACGGGCGGCATGGTGGCCTCTTGAAGGGTATCAAGGAGATGTGGGGTCGATCGTGGGCGGTGGAGATTAGTCAAGGGTATCGTGAGGCTAATTTTGTGGCAGATTATTTGGCGTCTTTGGCATCAAAGGGTCCGGGTGGTCTTCAACGGTTGGCAGCCCTCCGCCAGGGGCCAGTGTTTGGTTAAATCATGACAGGGTCGACGTGTCCTATTCTCGGTCGATTCTAGTCTAGGCTCTGCGTAGCCTCCTTTTCTTACACCAAAAAAAAAAATATTTAGTATGTGATTAAAAAAATATATTTAAACAAAATAATTCTTTTAATTCTATCGATATTAATAAGATATTTATATATTTAAAAATATTAAGTTAATTATGTAATTTGCAGCTGGACTCGATAAGCTAAAGACTACTTCAGTTAAATAATTAAGCCAAATATTAATTATGTCCTTGAAATTCCAGCTGCTGCTTCAACCATCGAGCGTGTCCAAGAGCGCCCTTCGACTAGCCACTTCGCGTGCAGCTAAGGGTGGTGGATAAACGGGGACGAACTGAGGGGCTGGGGGGCTGTAATCGTCGGGCTCAGTGTCACCGGGCTAGAGTCGCCGTCGCACGGAGGCTAGGCTGAGGTCTCCGACGAAAAACGGAGTCGCTGAAATTGTCATAAAAACAGGGTCGCCAGAGAATGGTCGTCGGTCAACGGCCGCGAACCACCAGTCAACAGCATTAAAATATTTTTTATTATATATTTAATTTTAATATAATAATAATAATTTTTTATTTAATAGATGTATTTTCCAATTACTTAATATAAGTAATTGATCAACACAAAATCAATGACTACGTTTGAGTCTTATTTTATTACGAGGTGTCCTCATTTTATCCACCTCAATATATAAATAAATAAATATATATATATATATATATATATATATATATATATATACACACACATTAAGGTTGGGTTCAAGTGAGAATGGTGGTCAGTGAAACAAATAAGAATACACCGTAGTCATTAGATTGAATGATCTAATAAGAAAACAATAATATTTTTTATATACATTTTTTTATGTATTGCGAATGCAAATCATGATTATATTAATTGCATATTTGTGTATAAACGTCTACCAGATTGCATAAAATCGAACGAGATTTAAGGAACATAAATTCGGTACGAAATTTTATATAGTGTTCGATTATTATTATTATTTATAAATCAAGTATTTAGGTACAATATCATTTTTTTTATTTAGATAGCTAAAATAAAAACCAAATTATATTAAAAATATTATATTTTATATTTTTGTAAAAAGAAATTTAAGCTATGATTTTCTATTGAAGTATAAAAAATTAATATAGTGTATTGTATGTATTATTGTGTATGTTTTAAAATTTTATTATATTATCAATTTGCCTAATTGTACTCAATTGAAAATATAACAAAATTTAAGAAATTGCAATTAGACCCCAGTAATAAATCAAATTTACACAAAAACAACCCCAAAACTCAAACAAACACATGGATTACAGATGTTACATCCGACCAAAGAAGGCGTGCGACGGCGGAGGGTGAAATCTGTGGTGGAGGCGGGTCTGTGGGTGGACGGACAACCGGAGGAGATGGTGAATGGGGCAGAGGTGTTGGTTGTTAGGGGATGTGGTCCCGGCAGGTTTAGTGACGGCGGTGGAAGCAATTTGTGACAGAGGCAAG